CACCTCTCAAATTCTTTTTTACATTATTACTTTTTTTTTCTTTAGCCTGAAGTGTATCAGTGAAAGTTAGCAGGTAGTCACAGATCTGGAAATACTTTATAACTCTAACCTGCAATTGTGACCAACTGCCAATGCTAAAAGTGGATTTCAAAAATTATTTTATTCATTTCTGTCTGTGTTTAAGGCAGGTCCTTGTGCCTTTTCATTGGTTTTTCAAGATGTCGATGGGAGATCCCTGTCATTTGGGGAAATAAAATGGTTTACTTTGATGTTTTCTTTCCAAATTGCAAATAAGATTAACATAAATTCTAGAGATGGTGCTGACATAGGTTGTAATACCTAAACAGGAGGCACTTTAAGAGAAGATAAGGGATTTAATCTTAGAGCATCTTGAAAAATAAAATGCAACTGTTGAGTTGTGGCAGGCTGAATCATCGAGTTTGGGCTGCCTGTAGAGTCCCAATTTACAAAATAATTGTCAGTGCTCAACTTTGCTTTTTGCCATATAAATCTGACTGGAGAAATCCCATTTCAGGTGATTTAAGTGGTATTGTGCATTCTTTTCTAGTTGATCTGAAAGAGCTATATGTGGTTTATATGAATATATACTTCCCATGGAAATCAGCAGCATAGCAGCAGAGATGACAGCATTCTGAAATCCCTCTGAACGGTTCTGTAATCAGTATGCTAATGTTTCTGTAACAGCATGGCTTGGTGTAGTGCGGCATATGCTTGTAATCCTGCTACTAAAGACATATAACCATGTAATGAGTCTGATTGTCTTTCTCTGTAATACAGGGAAGGAGCACAGACAGATTCACCAAGGATTTTGCTTCAAGGCCATGCCTCATGGACTCAGTTTGACTGCAACTCTTTCTTTTAAAGGCGTCTTTAAAAAGTTATTTGCTCAGAAACGTGTTTGATTAAACTGAAACATCATGAACACTGAATTATTTTTTCAAGCATTCTGAAGTTTGTATGTTATCATAATTAATTTCTTTAATAAGAAAATGTCCATGAGGTACTTATAAAAAATCAAAACTATTTTAGGTGTTTTTTGTTTGTTCTTGTGAGTAAATAAATAAAATAATTTAGTGTATGGGCTCTCAACCAGGGTCTTGTGACACCCTACTGTGTTATAAGCTGTGAAAACAGGGTGGGATTACAGCTTTTGCTAGGAGTTTGTGCATACTTCAAAACATATTTTTCTGTGTTTATAGGAATGTGACCATATGGGTCACTGCATTTAGAAAGGAGAGACTAAAAACCACTGATTTAGTGGAAAGAAAAATTGCTAAATATATTGACCTTTACATCTCTAGGAAGGAGGTGATTTTATAGACGAAGTATCCCATGAAGATTACCACTAAGGGAAGCCAGTGAAAGAGTTAAACATTCTCTTATTTAAGTGTAGGGAGAAATTGTAAATCTTTTCATAAATGAGGTTTTTAAGAGATATGTAAAGGCAAACTTAATGAACTACCCATTCTGAACTAAGGATCCTATAAATAATCCATTAAAGGTGATTGCTCTTATTTTGGATCTATAAACTTGAAATGGGGTCTATCTTTCAAAAGGGAGGCATGAATATCCTTTTATGTGTGCCATTCTGACTCCAGAGTTTTTCTTAAGATTTTACGTTGTGGAAAGGCTGTTAGACAGCTTGCTCATTAGAAGCAAGATGATTTTCTTGTAGAGCTCATCATATAGTTACTGAGTTTAACATGACTTTGTCACCCAATAAGGTTTCAGATCAATTATCCCTGTGCCATTTATTCAGTGATCTGAAATGCTGCCTCTGTCTTATTGGAGTTTTTCATTCTATTCTGTTGGTTTATCACTGTCCCTTTCCTTATCTCTGTTCTTTGACATACCTGTTCAGATAATTTTAATGCCAAGAAGATATCTTACTCAGAAGAACACCATCTTTGTCCTTCATAATTTGGACTTCTGTGTTTTGTGCTTCTATATGAATTTAGGATCATCTTGTCAAAATATATGAAAGTCTTTGATGAGATTTAGATTAAAATGGATTTGAATTTTACATCATCTTTAGGGGAAGCTGACTTCACTATGCGGTTGAGTCCTCCCCTCCACTGCACAGCTCTTCATTCATTCTAATCTTCTTTCATAGCCTTTAATGTTATTTTCTAATTTTCTCTATGAAATTCTTGCACGATTTATTATGAAATTGTCTTACTAAATTTATGGTGAAAGTCCTAAGAATTTTCGTTGCTGGGGTTTTTTTTTTCCTAATATATTTTGCTGATTTATAGATACATTATTGATTTTTAGGTATTTATATTGCAAATAAGTAGCTTAGCTGAATTTTTTAAAATCTGGTTTTTAGTCCAGGGTGATTCTTAGATTTTCTATGCAGATAATCTGTAAGTTTTTCTCTTCTTTAGCAATTATACCATCTCAGTTTCTCTCTTCTATGGCATTGACAAGTCAGAATGGTGTCATGGCAGGCATCCTAGTCTTATTTAATGTTTGTGTAATTGCTTCTAATTGAGTCTTCCCTGGGGTTTTTGAATAAATAATCCTAGTGAAGTTAAGGAAGTTCTGTCTCTTCCCAGTTTGGTAAGATTTTATCATGGATAAATAATACTTTTTTCAAATGCCTTATAATATTGGTTGAAATAATAAACTTACTTTTTAATACTTTAATGCATATTTAAATGTAACACCCTTATATTCCTATATTAAACACTTGATTGGCAATGGTATATTTTTGTATACAGTATTAAGCTTTATTAACATTACATTTAGGATTTTTTTAAACTATGTTATAAATAAAATTGGCCTATAGTTTTCAGAATAGACAAGAAAATTCTGTTATTTTACTTTTCTAAAATTCCTATTAATTCTATGTTGTGATATTTTAATACACCCTCTACACTTTTACCTAATGTTTAATGTGTTCGCCATTTATCTTTCTAAGCTGAACTCTTCAGAATGTTCTAGTTCTTTTGAAAAGGTCTAGAGTTCACTCCAATTTTTTATTATGTAATATACATTTCTGTGATTATATTAATTCATTTTCAAGACTTTTTAATTGTTTTTTTTTGCTGTTTTATGGTTCTTGTTGCATTTCTGTCTATTTCATCATATCATAGATTATTTTTAATCAGATACTACTTTTCATGTAGCTCTCTGAGAATCATAAATATTCTTTCTTAAATTATTTCTCCATCCATTTAATGACTTTAATTTCATCTGGAATGAAATGGTTTCATATTGTCAACTCAGTTGACTCTCTCAGCATTTGATCCCTTCGTGTGTTTTGGCTAATGTTGGGCAATAAAATTCTTTTCCTCTTCTCTCTCTCTGTCTCTGTCTCTCCCTCTCCCATACCCTCTCTCTCTCTCTACCCACTAATCCCTACTCTCCTCCTCTTTTTCTCTTGTGTCTGGCCTCTTCACATTTCTCCAACTAGTGTGAGGCATAAATCTCAAGTCTTTCTGAGCCAATTTAGAACCAAGGCTTATATTCCTGGTTTAAGAATCTCATCCCAAGGTGACACTTGGTTTACTACTGACCCTGTCACCAAACTGTCTGGCAGCTTGTTTCAGATCCTGGTTTGCTGGCTGTGTTTTTGAATTTTGTTTTTCTGGCCTAGAAATTCCTAGAAGCAAGAGCCCCAGCAGCTGTTGGAAGGAGCTTTTGTCAGCCTTTCATAGCCATGAATGCTGCTGTAGCCCCTGGATTTCAGCTCGGAGTTTGCTTTATGTGGAGGACATCTATTATGAGTTATCCCATAAGACCCAAGTTCTGGTCAGTACCCCGTATTTGTGGGTATGTGCTTAACAGGTCCAGAGCGTTACCTTCATTCACCATTTTCTTTCTGTTACTTTTTCAATTTCCCTACATGTTCATGTATTTTAGAACACACATGTCTTAGGTCTTACTTTAGGCCTTTTAAATTTTACCAATAATTTGCCATGTGTTTGGAGCAGAGGTTACGTAAAATATGGAACTATAGAGCATACTGGTTGAAAGTTCTAAAAGTAGACAATGTGAATGCAATTCAACCTTTACTTTGTTTGTGTCTTAATAAAGTACATTTTAAAGATGAGAAAGTTCTCAGTGCAACACTACACTTTTTTACTCATTTCAAGCAAATAACCTTTTTCATAATCCAACAGATCTTTATATTGATGACATTATCAGCATCACCAGTTACTGTATCTAGAAATTTTCAATATACTAAGTGTATACCTTGCTCCCTTAAGATGTTTTCAGAAGATGCCATAACTAGACCAGTTATATCTCAAAAGGAACAAAATACAAGAAGTCAATTCATTTCTTAAGTTTGCTTCCCAAATACAAAGAGGATTTACACTAGAGTTCACAATGGTTTTAAATACAAGCTTATACATTTTAAAATGCATTCTTGCATAGAAAGATAAAAACAAATAAACAATATTATTTATTAATATAAATACTGAAACAATATTAATGCCTTTATTGGACTTGTGAAATACTTTTGCTGTTTCAAAGCATAGATGGTATTCATTGTATCTTGACAGTTCCCCTGTAAGATGAGTGAAACTGCCACTTTACAGTGAGGAAGCTGAAGTCCAATAGATTGTTTATTATACAAGGATGTAGTACTAATTAAAGGGATATATATATCTAAAACCTGTGACCTGACACCCAACACAATTATTGGTGTACAAATAGGCTCTTATTTAGTACCTTGAATTTGATGTCTTGAACATCATGCTTCTTGAGAAATTGCCTCATTTTGTGTAAGACTCTAAGTTCTCCCCAATTCTTAGTGTCTTATCTGATTCCTGGCTCTGTGATAAGTGATAAGAATGCCTTTCTTTACTGTCTTATTCATTGTTGAAGATTGACATGCCATCAACTCTTAATCCCTATACCCAGGATAATTTAGATAGGTTGCTCTATAAAGGTGGGTAGATAAGCTAGGTGACTTTTCAAAAACAATTATCAATTTTGTTATTCTTGCTTTTTAAATCTCTTTATTACAGGAGGGCTCTATGGAAAGCTTGTATGAGCCAGTCCCAGAGCAACAAGCTAACCAAGGGAGCATCTCTAAAAGAACTGGTTCTCTTATCTTGCCATTTGGAGAGAGTGGAAAAGTACACAACAATCTCTTCAAGGTGAGTGAAGCATTGAGTTGAGTGGATTGCTCCTCTATTACATATTTAAAATAATTTGCTTATTACAGCAAAAATTCACTGTCCTCAGGGAATTCTTTATTTACTTTTAGTTTCTCATTGTCTCTTCACTGTCATCTCTTTCATGATTTTGCCTTCATAATATGAACTACCATTTGTAGAATATGTATTAGGTGATTACATAAGTTAACTCACTTAATTCTCAAAGCACCCATATAACAAAGAAATAATTCTGTCATTTTCTAGATGAAGAAATTGCAGAAGAAAAAGGCAAAATAACTTGCTGAAGGCTATAAACCATTAAGTGTTAAAACTGGCAATTAAATATGTATGTGTCTGCCTCAGCAGTTTATTAGTAGTTTCCTGGTAAACCGGGTCTTTGGGGTGGATGGGAGACACCCTGGATCTGTAGCATTTGCCAGTTGCCATGGTGTAAATGCTCCTACCATAGTCCATTTCAAGCTGTCAGTGGTTTAATGACAGGCTTACAATGTCTGGATATTTAATTACTCATTCCCTCCAGTGCCAGCCCCAATACACCACTGGCTGCTTAAAGTCTGTGCTAAGCACTTCACTGAGCTTTTCTTAACTTCATGGACACACATCACCCACTTACAAAACACAAGTAGTACAAGAAGGCAAGTGAAAATAGTTTTTGTGAATTGTCTTTATAATTGCTAGAGGCACAGAGTTCTCCATGCTCTGCAAAATTGGCCCTGTCCCTGTTTAACAGTGCTGCTGTTCTCTTGGTCATTTGTGCTGTACTTAAATTAATCCTGTACTAATAAACTTATTTTGCTTCTATTGTGGCTTGGGGCAATACAAAACATCCTATGTCTGCTGCAAATAAAGAACTTCCCTATACTTAAAGATTTAGATGTCACCTCTTATCTGTATAATCACACTTTTCCCCAATAACAACACAAAAATTACTGTGAACATTTATTCAGTGCTTCCTTTTTTGTAAGGTACTGTACTAGGTGAAGCTATATATGAAATGATCAATGTTGATCCTCACAAAAGTTTTAGAAAGGTTTAGAAATGTTCATAAAGGCTAAAAAAGCCTTCCCAGTTAAAAAGAAGATGACCCATGATTCAAACCCACATCTTCTTTTGCTCTAGAGAAAGGGGAACAATAAAGTACCTTCGAGTTTTATACCCATCTTCACACCTACCTGTTTTGTTCTTTGGGGATATTGAAAACTTATTTACATAGCTTATAGATGTAAAAAATGTAATGTTAATTATTAAACAAGTTAACTAATAAGAATCAATAAGTAAAACAATCCAAAAAAATTTCGTGCAGTGGAAACTCTTCCCTCAACTCTGTGCCCTTTTCAACATCCATAAGATGTTGATGCTGACACATACGCATAAGAGGAAGCAACAATACATTTTACATATTGATGTGAGCAGGGAGTCCGTTCACATGGAGACTGTCAATTGACATTACAAAATGTTTGCACATATTTTTACTCCATAATTAAAAAGAAAAACTGAATAGGCTGAAGAGCCTGAAGATATTTCCTTAAATGTGTGAGTTTAATAAGTATGCATGAAAAATAAACAAGTTCAGGGACAGCCAGTCTAGAATTTTTATTGAACTTCACTTATATTGCAAAAGTAGATGAGAATAACAAAAACATTAAATGTAAATTGCTACAGCTCTCTCTCTCTCTCTCTCTCTCTCTCTATATATATATATATATATATGTGTGTGTGTGTGTGTGTGTGTGTATATATATATATATATATATATATATCACCCTTTTTTGTTCCTAATGAAAATATGATTCCACAGCTTGGATAAAATAAAGTCACCCTTTTAAATGAAATTTAATGATTTACAACTTTCTTGACTTTCCCTTTAAGCCTATGAAGAATGGATGGATGCTTTTTTTCTCCTAGTAGTCTTACTTCCTTTTTTTATTTCCTAATTCAAGGAGAAAAGATTCTGGACCAGTCAACAGTATTGGAAAAAGATTATTCTTTTTGGACTCATGGTCTAACATCCTATAAAAACACTCCTAAAGTTAATGGTGTTAACATTAAAGTTAAGGCCTCAAGCTCCCAGTCCTCAACCCAAATGAAATTGTAACTTTCCTGGACAGGAAAGGAGCTGCCCTACTCAAATTCTTCAGAACCAACCTGACAGCATATCCCATTGTTACAGTGGAAGTTACAGCCCATATTCAAAATACTGTCATTTGCCACATGAATTGAAAAATCAAAATGAGAGGACTCCTAGGCTTCTTGGCTTCCCTTAAAGATATTTTATTTAAGCGTATCTATTAGGAGTTTTAGTATTTGGAAAACACTGTTCTAAGCAAGGTGGGGACTTACATAGATGAACATAAGATGTTCTATAGTCTAAAGGAAATGATCCAGAATAGACCAACTGCAAAAATAAGAGTAGAAGAGGTATTGAATGGAAAGAAGCTAATTTGGGGATTTTTAAAATGAAGAACATCAGAAATATCCAGCTTACATTTAATTGCAGGAAGGTGTGGTAATAGAGACCTGATCCAAAGACAAACTGATTTAAAATATGAGATTTTATTTACTGTTGTAAAGAGGAATAGTAAGAGATCCACTCATAGTATACTAACAAAACCAGAGAGTTTTGGAAAACTACTGCAAAAAAAAGTGGGTAAAAAGTTGTGTAAAGTGAATAATCATGTAACTAAGGAAATATGCTGAAAAAAATATACTAACACAATAGCCTAACTAAGGACTGACTAGTCATTATTATATTAGTTAAAATGCAGGTTGCTACTGCTTAATTCTCTACTTAATTTTAGTACCTCTTTATTATATCTGAAGCTAATAAAATATCTGGAATTAGAAATAGAGTGAGAACATAAAATGTTTGTACCTTTGCCAATTTGGGTTAACTGGATCAATCCTGAATTATCTATAGTGATTGAAATAAGCAAATAATTGTCAATTCTCCACTTCATTTTTCATTTCATAAATTGATAAGAAATTTGAGTGTTTTCAAAAATGAGCTAAAATGTGGGGCAGGGGCAATGTCCCTATTATTTATATGTTACACACATTCATTCAATAAATATTTGCAAGCTAAATGAAGGGATCAGTGAAGGTTCATTAATCAATCTAAAGAAGGGCTTAATAATGGGGCCTGTATGATACAGTGGCTTAAAGCATGGGCTTTAGAGTTGGGCAAAAATGAATTCTCATTTCTAGATTTGACCTGGGAAAATTATTCAGATTTCTAGAGCTCAGTGTCTTCCTTTGTAGAATAAAAAAAAATCTTCTGTATGGGTTCAGCCGAGTTTGATTGTGAAGAAGAGAATCTCTTGCAACTGAAAACCGGAAGGATTCAGCACAGAAGTTAGGGAACCATGAGAAGGGCTGACGTGTCACACTGGAGCTGAGGATGCAGCTACATACTAAGATGGCCTGTATTTGTAGGGTCCAAGAGCTAAGAACAGCTTTTACATTTTAAAAAATTTGTTTAAAAACAGAAACAAAAATAAGGAAAGCTATGCCATAGAAACTATATGTGGCCCACAGAGCATAAAATATTTCTATCTGGCTATTCATAGAAAACGTTTGCTGATCCTTGCCCTATACGCTGCTGTGCAGACACAGGTGGCAATCAAGTGATTGAGAAGTGGCTAGTCCAAATGTGGGATGGCAATACGGATAAAATATATATTGTATTTTAAAGAATTCATATGAAAAAAAGTGTAAAATAGCTTATTAATAATTTTATATTGATTATTTGTTGTGATAAGAATATTTGAGATAAATTAGGTTAAATGGAATCTCACTCATTTCTTTTGTTGTGGCTACTAGATTGTGGTCTCCACTTCATATCCCACCATTTCAATGTCACATGGTTGCTTATGTTCTGCAAATTCAAATTGTACCTGTTATCCAGGCTTCAGGGAACTTGTGGACTGTGGTTTTCAGCCTTCCGGCCTTGAAAGAGGAAGTGCTCATGTGCTCTATCTACCACCCTTCCCTCCCAGGGTCTTTCATCCTTTAGGCTTGACATCACCTTATTATGCAAAAAACAAAACAAAATAAAAGCAGGCTCTCTCACCTCTGAAACTCCTCTCACTTGGCAGGGGGGATGGTTGGCTTTCTGAAGGTGGCTCTCCTTTGTCTCTGTAGAAAATAATTTGTATCAGCCTTATGCCAGTCTTACAGTTTTATGCTAACATTTAAAGTAAGTTAAATGTAACAGCTCTTCTGCAGTATTGGGGTATTATATAGTGGTGATAAATTGGGATATTTGATTTTTGACAGTTAAGATAGAGAGGAATTATCAAAAATAAAAAAAAAACACTATCTAATGCTATTATATTAGAAAGTAAATCATAAACAAGAGTTGCTGTAAAAAGACTTTGCTACAACTTCTGTCAGTTCTCAACAGTGGCCAAACTTCAGGATCACCTGAAGACAGATATCCAAACCCTGCTCTGGACCTACTACATCAGTGAGAAGAGATTAGAGCAGCTTTGTGAGATAGAAATTTAATGCAATCCAAATAGTAAATTTAGATTTTCTTGTAGTCACAATAACATTTTTAAAAAAGAGAAACAGGTGAAATTAATTTTAATAATGTATTTAAGTATCAATATCATGTAATTAATATAAAAAAATTAATGAGAAATTTTATATTCCCGTTTTTAAAATAAGACAATGAAATGTGGTGTATATTTTATACATCTCAGTTTAGATGTTAAAGTATTAATGATTAAAGTTAAATCTGATCCTAGTGAAATAATAAAAAATATGTAATTTTTTTATTCTGCTTCAGCTTTTAAATCAAAATTAAGTTGACAAAATTAAAATTTAGTTCTTCAGCCACACCAGCCAAATATCAATTGCTCTACAGCTATATGAGGTGAGTAATGGCTTCCATACTGAATGGTGTAGGATGAGACCCTTGAAATTGCTTGCAGGGTTGAAGCATCAAAGCAACCAAATAAAACCATTTTCCATCAGGG